AATTCTTCCATTCCTTTTCCACTTTTTAAAATAACTTAAAATACTCCATCACATGTTCAGGAAATTTATTTGGGGTTAAGTCTATGGGTAAAAATATTTTAAAATACAGAACAGTTGATAACTGACTTCATTGTGATTCCATATATATAACAAACATCTATAGACCATCTATGCATCGTTCCAGGTAGTCTTTGGGGTATGGAATAATGTTAGCAGTCTGGCAAAAGCTAACACTCAAAGGTTAAATGCAGAACGAAGACACACCGTTCCAATGGCTGTCGAGCACTAACAGCATACCAGGTGCTTGGTACAAAGTAAAACAAAATGGTTTGTGATTTGACATTCAATTATGTTAACATTGGAACTCTGTCTCTCAATTAAACTAGAACACAAACATTTTGAAATGTCAGTTTTTGTTCGTGAGCTGGCCATCAACAAGCAGAAACTTGGCAAAAGAGAAATAGAGAACGTGATTTAGAGAGACTTTCACAATTACATGTTCTTCTCTTAGTCCTCTATGACAAAGTAAGTTCCAGAGTATACTTGCTTAGTTCACCTTTTACTGTGACTGGTGATAATTACCAATAAAATTTAAAAGTACTAAAGTACTAAAGACACTAATGTAGTAAATACAATTCATAAAGGGGAAATATGCGTCTGAGTGAGACACAGATTTGCACTTTTAACCCACCTCATTCATGGCTGATAGACTAGAATGCTGTTATAACTCCATGTACTATCTTATGAAAGATAAACTGCAGAGTAATGAAACAAGTTTCCATAAGTTACACAACTGTCTTCCTCAGATCTTGCATCCTAAACTAAATACCAAAATCATCAACCGCTGCTTTTCTGACTCTAAGAGAAATGCTCTTTCCTCTCCACGTACTACACAACCTCACAGATATGGATGCAAAAATCCAGTTCAGTTGTCCCTTTAAACCACAGATTTGCACACCCAAATGTCTACTGTGGCCTTCCTTCATCAGAGTATCTTAAATTCTCTTCCATATCCTTTGCCATGCATGGTACCACTGGCAACTCAGTCTTGTCCATGGGTCAATGGCCCCAATACCCACCATTTTCCCTGTCAGTCACTGTCCCCCAGATGCTCAAGTCAGAATCCCTGGAGTTGCTCAGCTATTGCCCTCTCTCTCATTCCTCCTATTCAAACCATCAACAAACATGTCCTCTTGATTGATACAAAGTAACATCTTGCATAGGTCTACTAGTTTCCATTTCCCCTGCTAACACCCTAATACTATAAAATACAAAAATATTCTTAGAGTCAAAATCCTGTCCTACTTCTTAGTGGTTGAATAACCTTGGGGAAGAAACTTAACTTTTCTCTTGGTTTCAGATCCTGTATCTCTTATAATACTATTTATTATTAATAGCAACAACGATAATGAAACTTGTTGAGTGCTTACTATGTATCAGACACTGTTGTGATTATTTTACACATCTGGACTCATTTCATCCTCATCATACATTGTATGAGGCAATTACTATGGGTCTGATTTAATAGCCAAGGACACTAAGGCTCAGAGAAGTTAAGCAGCTAAGGTGATACAGCAATAAGTGACAAAACCACAATTTGAACTCAAGAGTGTGGGCTTCAGAGACCATGTTTTTAATTTTTATTCTTCTGACTTTGTAAATTTAATATTAGAACAATGTTTACCTAATAGGTATGCTGCAAAGAGTAAAGACAGTGACACGTGAGATTTTTTTGTGAATATAAATGTTTTTGATAATTTTACCCTGTAGTTTTAAGAATGTAGGCTACTGGAAGCCAGGGGTAATTTATCCCTCCAGATGAACATCTAGAAAGTTCCATGTTTCTTGGTTAATGATGCATTTATTTGACATTTTGCAATGTTTTTTTTTTTTACAAATCAAAATTTTACATTAAACTCTTCACCCTAATTATGTGTATCTATTTTATAAATCGTCCATCATTGTTAAAGATAGCATTCAATTAAAACT